GTTTCGACCTCGCATCGGTCTCATCAACACCCTCAGCGGGAGTCGAACCGCGACAGTGCAGGATGGGAGCGTGACACGCTAACCACTTCTACAAGCGCCTTTTGGGTCACAGGGCAAATGGGAATTTTCAAGGAAGGCCAGGCCTTTTTGCCATCTCATATTCTTTTGGCGGCATTGTCGAACGTATATCTGCTATAACAATCGACTACAATACTTTATTTTTCGAATCGAGTATTGTTTTCGTGACTTTATTAACATTTGTCTAGCCACTCACACTATAATATTATTATTTCAGTTGCTTAAAGTTTAGAAAAGTCTTTGGCTCTGCTTTCTTCATCTCTTGATAGAATCTTCTCCTCTAATCATCCCATACCTACTGACGGCCCTGATTCCGTCAATGACTTCAACTGCGTATCATCTGTTTAAAAAAGGTTTAACTGATATTCATCCGCATCAATATGTATAAATACTATTCTGTCCAGGCATCTATATTTCACTATGTAAAAGCAATAACGCCCTCTTCCTATTGTCAGCAGTATTGGCGTCGGAGCGAGATTATAGGTGTTAAGTGGATGACCAAGCTGTACTAGAGCATAACCTCAGCCCAGTATAAGGGCTGACCCTAGATTGCCGCTATACTACATTCAATTTAATTAAGATTTATATCTAAGCCATAGTATTTACACGGCATTGCATGAAGTTGACATCAAGGTTCACTTGGTGACTTCCGGACTCAACCTCGAACTGCTAAATAGGTATGCGGGAAAGGGTTTGACGTGTACGTTAAATTTCACTATATCACAATCTAAAAGGTGTTGGAAGGCTGGATAACAAATCTACGTATTTTTCTCTTTCTGCTGGGACTTTAATCAACTACCTAGGTCTTTTAAAACAAAACAGCTCATGGAAACCAAAGTATGAGCGAATTGTAGCACGAATTAAGAGCTTTCACTGTATATACAGTCCTATTCTTATCGTAATCTTTGGCCCAGGAATAGATTATTGGTGGCAAATAAATCTTGATTTATATTGAATAGTGTAGGAATTCACCATTATCCATCACAAAAGTTTCGTAAACTTTACAGTATTCAGTGTTCGCAAGCTTTTAG